CTTCAGGTTACGTAACAAAATAGCCTGACGCAGTGTACGTGCGGGAATTTAACTTAATTAGTTAAAAAGTGATGAAATTTCACGCCTTGTCTGATTGCTTTTAAGAGCCGGTGTGTCTCGTATATACTATTCACAGGAAATAGAAGATCTGTGTGGCCTGCGTTGTTTACGGCTGTAAAACGTTAGCGTTGCTGCGAAGTGATTCATTCTGTAATTTCATAGTTTTAAAAAGATACATCAATAGAAGCAACAACTTATTCCTTTCGATCTTGTATTCGAGGCTACCATGTGTATAAGGATATATGGGATTCAGTTGTTGGTGAAGTTCTGGATTGCGAGGTAAGACGTGTTTAACAATGTCAAATGTAGAGAACAGAACGTTGGCGATAAAAACAAACCCCTTAGTTCTTTGAAAATTTGGCGTTACAGTATTGATGAATGAATTGATCTCCATAACACGCGTGTTTTTTACGCAGCACGAGCCTGATAACCCACACGACACCCATGCTGTTGCCGTTAAACGGGTTCAAGATCAAGGAGGCATGCAGCAGATCGTAGGTCATGTGCCATTGACACTGTCACGTGTATTTCACTTGTTCTTAAAACACGGAGGACAAATCTCAGTGGAAGTGACTGGTAAACGGAGAAACAAGGGCATTGGACTAGAAATTCCGGCTACTTATTTGTTTTATCACAAGAAGCCTTCGAAAGTGAAGAAGTTAATAGAATTAATAAGAGACAAAGAAGAGAGCAGAAGTTAATTGATGTCGAAATACTGTATAACGCCAATGTCTATGACATAATAAGCCGTTGACTGATAGGTTGCTGTCAAAGGATTTGTTGACTGTTGATCTGTACAGCGTTTTATCTTCTGTCGCGTGTTGAGAAAACCGGAATAAAGCAAGCTGTGAATTCTACTCTACGCTCAAATCTGTCGTTGTTACTGACTGCGAGCGAGCAACAGGACAAAATATTCGTTATAGCGAGGTAAATTGTGCGTTGGGACCGTCAAAATCTTTCGTTATACCGGGGATTTCGTTAAAGCGGGGTTCGTTATAGCGGGGTTCGTTTCAACATATTTTACTGTAAATCTGCCGGGCTTTCAAATGTTGTTCTTTATAACGGGGTCTTCGTTATAGCGAGGTTCGTTATAGCGGGGTTCCACTGTACTTAGGTGGACCCAACATAATTATGTTTTCTTGCCAAATCAAACTCCAAACTTCATTCAATGGTCATCCACCCAAACTTAACTTTAGCCGTTCTTCACGATGGATGGCCAATCCAAATAAAATCGCTCAAACCCAACTTAAATGAGATTGGCTCATGTGAAGTCCTAAGTTTGACCTGGGCCTAACCTCAATCCAATTTAATATCAACAAAAATATATTGAGTAATAAGAAATTAATTAATGTATTGTATATAATAAATTGTCAAGTCAAGTTTGTTCAGTGCTGCGGGACGCCACTTGCATTCCAGTATCCGTAATGAAATTTCAGTTCAAACAATTCCTTTGTCTTCTTAAATTTGAGCTCCATTGGCTTTTCATTCGACACTAACACCTCACACCTCTCAAGGCTATTTTGCACAGGTGCCATACGCCTTTCTAAAATCATATCAGGATCGACTTCTGTACTATCTAAATCCATCCTCGCGAATAAATATTTCGCTTTCCGCGTATCTGTTATCTCGTATACAACTTGTGTATTTGTTTCCCTAAATCATTGACCGAAGCTTGTACGTTGCATAAGGTCTTTAGAAATGCATTCAAACACCTCTTGCAGCATGTCCATTTAAAAATCCCCATGCCATGGATTGGCAAGTCTTGCCCTTGTATTCAGGCGGCGAATTATTTTGGCATCAATCCTTTGTGGAGACCTTGCAACCATCCCTCTTGCTGGTACTAATCTTTGCACGGTCGAAAAACTCCCTCCACGATGACTGTATTTGGTATCCAATACAGATACAGCAGCTTCTAGCTCTCCGAAAAAAATTACTTATCTGTTGTATATCATTGCCAGTATCAACCCTGCTCAATAGATCAAGTTTCCAACGTTGAATTGATTGTCGAAGGCTTTCTGCAAACTGTAAATTGGCCGCCATATTGGATTTTACGCGTTATTCATTGCGCGCCTATAATGCAACATTGATCGGGTGGTTTGGTCCCACAGTGAAATGTAAACATCAACAAACTCATTTGCTGTTAAATAATCATTTACTGCGTCGCAATAGGTACAGACAATATGCGTGTCATTGATTAAATTTGGATGGTCGCAACAGGGTTTTTGAAGACCTTTAGTTTCAACCAATTTTTTATTACAGAATGGACATTCCATGCGGCCTTCTTTTATACACTCAAAATGAAGAACTTCACAAAACACCTGTACTATTATGTAAGAAATTTATCTTAAATACACTTTCGTACCACCACATCCACAATAAATTGTAATATTACATAAAAGTCGAATGTTCTAGATCATCATTGTTGTAAAATCATGAGATA